GGAAACAATATAGTGAAAATCCTGCCCCCTCCTCATCCACAAAAAAGATACCTAAAAGCTCTCAGAGAGGAAAGACAGACTCTCTAGGAAGGAATGTAATGAGACTGACAGAAATACTTCATTAACAAAAATAGAAGGTGTAATGCCACAGAGTAATATCATTATCACACTGAGGGAAAATAAAAGTTAACCTAGAATTTTATGCCCAGTTATACAAACATGAGATAAAGCAGATAAAAATTTTTTTAATATAAACAGAAAAGGGTCCTATTGTTTAACTCATAGACCCCTCCTCCAAAACCCTAACAAATCATATACATCACCAAAAAGAAAAATAAATCTGAAGATACAAATAATTTTAAAAAGCATTGTTGAGGAAATTAATTGGTAAAGAATGTGGGCAAATATAAATGAACATTGACTATAATTACTGTCAGAGCTAAAATCCTAGGAAATAATTACATTGAAGAGAAATTATGAATAACTTTAGAATGTACTGAATTAAGCGTATATGTTAAAATTCGTTTCACAATTGCCAAGACATGGAACCAATGCAAGCACTCATCAACCAACGAGTGGATAAATGAAACATGGTATACATGCACCATGGAAAAGTACTCTGCCATAAAAATGAAACAAGTAATTTCTTTTGCAGCAACTTGGTTGGAGCTGGAAATCATTATTCTAAGTGAAGTAACTCAGGAATGGAAAATCAAATTCTGTATGTTCTCACTTACAAATGGAAGCTGAGCTATGAGTATGTAAATGCACATAGAGTGATATAATGGACTAGGAAGACTTGAAAGGGGGATGGGTAGGAGAGCAGTGAGGGATAAACAATGACATATTGGGTACAATGTATACTACTTAGGTGAGGAGTGCACTGAAATCTCAGACTCACTACTCTACAATTCATCTATGTCACCAAAAACCACTTCTACCCCCAAAAATATTGACAAAATACATAATATTATATTAAAAACATATAAATTATAATACATATTAAACATAATAGTTATACATTTTTTTCTTTAACATAAAAATATATTGAAATTTTAATGGTAATCATTAAAAGAAAAATACATGATGCACATTCTATGAACTTGAATAGTAATCTTTAATGAAAAAATATATACTTCCTAACCAGTAAAAGAAACAAAAGAATAAATAGGCTGCTCTGCTTATGGAGTAGCCATTCTTTTATTCCTTTACTTTCTAATAAGCTTGCTTTTACTTTACCTTTAAAAAAATAAAAGAACTTGATCAATCCATTAGAAATGAGAAAAAAGAGAGAAAAGGACCAAAGAAAAGCAAGATAAATGAAACACAAAATAAGATGGGAGAAGTCGGACCGCATACATCAATTAATGAAATAAAAATACAGATGACAAAATATAGAAGAGAATAATATAAACTGGTACCAAAACAGACAGAGATATAGCCCAATGCAACACAAGAGAGGCCTCAGAAGTAACGCCACACATCTAAAACTATTTGATCTTTGACAAACCTGACAAAACAAGCAATAGGGAAAGGATTTCTTTCCTGTTTAATAAATGGTGTTGGGAAAACTGGCTAGCCATGTGAAGAAAGTTGCAACTGGGCCCCTTCCTTACACCTTACACAAAATTAACTCCAGATGGATTAAATATTTAAACATAAGACCTGACACCATAAAAACCCTAGAAGAGAACCTAGGCAACAGCATTCAGGACACAGACATAGGCAAGGACTTCATGACTAAAACACAAAAAGCAATGACAACAAAAGCCAAAATAGATAAATGGGATCTAATTAAACTTAAGAGCTTCTGTACAGCAAAAGAAACAATCATTAGAGTGAACCAGCAACCAAGAGAATGGAAAAAAATTTTCACAAGCTACCCATCTGACAGAGGGCTAATATCCAGAATCTATAAAGAACTAAAGCAAATTTATAAGAAAAAAACAACCCCATCAAAAAGTGGGCAAGGGATATGAACAGATACTTTTCAAAAGAAGACACTTATGCAGCCAACAAACATATGAAAAAATGTTCAACATCACTGGTCATTAGAGAAACGCAAATCAAAACCACATTGAGATACCCTCTCACTCCAGTTAGAGTGGTGATCATTAAAAAATCTGGAGATAGAAGATACTGGAGAGGATGTTGAGAAATAGGAATGCTTTTACTCTATTGGTGGGACTGTAAATTAGTTCAACCATCATGGAAGAGAGTGTGGCGATTCCTCAAGAATCTAGAAATAGAAATTCCATTTGACCCAGCAATCCCATTATTGGGTATATACCCAAAGGATTATAAATCATTCTATTATAAAGACACAGGCACACATATGTTCATTGCAGCACTGATTACAACAGCAAAGACCTGGAAGCAACCCAAATGCCCACCTATGATAGACTGGACAAAGAAAATGTGGCACATATACACCATTGAATACTATGCAGTCATAAAAGAGGATGAGTTCATGTTCTTTGTAAGGACATGGATGAACCTGGAAACCATCATTCTCAGCAAACTGACACAAGAACAGAAAACCAAACACTGCATGTTCTCACTCATAGGTGGGTGTTGAACAATGAGAACACATGGACACAGGGAGGGGAGCATCACACACTAGGGTCTGTTGGAGGTGGGAGGCTGGGGAGGGACAGTGGGTGGTGGGGAGGTTGGGGAGGGATAACACTGGGAGAAATGCCTGATGTAGGTGATGGGGGGGATGGAGGCAGCAAACCACCATGACATGTGTGTACCTATGCAACAATCCTGCAAGTTCTGCACATGTACCCCAGAACCTAAAGTATAATTTAGAAAAAGAGAAAGATATTAAATTGAGTAAATAAAACTAAAATAAAAACAGGTAATATTTAAAGGAAGCATACCCACATACTAACAGTCTAGAGGGCGGAAAATCACATCTGCAGTAAAAAGCACACAGGGTAAACATTTACAAAGTCTGGATTGTGGACATGTATGCATTTATCATATCACATCTGTACTTTTCTGAATCTTTGAAATGTTTCATAGCAAGATTTTTTTTAAAGAAAAAGAAAAAATGAAGATATTAATATGGAAGAAAACTGAAGGCAGAAATTACAGAATAAGAAGCCTGAGGCTCTTACAGCAAGTGCAGGTCTGGAGGCTCCATCAAGTGAGGCTGTGGATTTTGCTCAGAGCTTTTCCTTTTTGTATTATTGGTTGGAAAAGCTCTGAGGAAAACCTGTGTGCACCCACAAAAATAATGGGTGATGACGCTTGAGAGAACGAACTTCCATGGGTCCTCATAAAGATGCAACACCACAGAAGAGAGACAAGAAAATCAAAGTCAAGCCAGCAAAGGCATGAGGAGGATGTGTTTCTTAAAAGTAGAATCCCATGAAAATTTCCTGGCCTCTGGAAGTCTTTTTGTCTTGTTTGGAGGCATCTTTTAAAACACCCCAGTCACTCTCTCTGTCCCCTGCACCTTCCAGTAGGTGAAAGACCCTGTATTATTTATAATGTAGAGAATATAGAAATAGTCATCCACTAGGAAAATGTAGAAAACTTAATATATCTATGTAAAAGTAACAATAAAGACCCATCCCCTCTGTAGTATTTGTTTCACCTACGTAGCTTTCAAAATGCTTTTCTGCTCTACCAGTCTATAAGCCAGTGTGCACTGGGATAGCTGTTTCTCTCCAGTACCATGGTACAGGCCTGACATTAAGGAGCTTAATTTGTAAACATTTGTTTGAATGGAAAACTGATGCATTAACATTGGGAAATTTCACTGAAGATTTTGTAAGTCCTGAAGAAGGGCTCCCTTGGCTAATGTACTGCACCTCCAATTCATGGGGAAAGGAGAAGTCTACTGGAAATCCCTTCTATAAGGGAGCACATTGCTAATGAATTGTACATACATGAACAAAGCTTTCACCACTCTACAATTCATCCATGTAATCAAAAACCACTTGTACCCAAAAGCGATTTTTGGCTATTTGGCTTAGTGCCTAGAAGAAAACCCTTTGGAGTACAGAGGGGGAGAAACAGACAACTTCTTTGTAGTTTGCTCAGCATGTTCATGAGATGAAACACTACCCAATCCAAGCAGTCCGAGTTGAACACAAAGGCTGGCTGCACCATGTCAATTAAATGCAAGCACACAACTGAATTCTACTAGACTGAAAACAGGTGCTTTGACCTTAACGAAATAGGTTAAGAAAGAAAAAAAATATGATAAGAAAGAAAAAAAATCTATCTTAAAGTTTCTTTCTATATCCCTAGTTATTATAAGGACAAGAATTTTCTTTAGATTGTAAAATGAGAATTAGATTTCTTAAAGAAAGTCACCTGATTAGTCTTGAACTCATTGAGAAGGTGCAAAAGAAAGATAACCTAAGTGATTGGTTTTTCACCAGTAGGTGGAAGCAGAAGGAATCCCCCCAAAGCATGAAATGTGGTTTGCCCAGATTCTCCCATTTGTAACCCAGATCTCTCTGGGGAGAGGTTGGCTGGACCTTGACCTATAGCAATCAAAGGCAGCTGCAGAGTGGATTTCAGAGGCAAGAGAGGGGTGTGTAACACAGAACTTGAACAAAATGGATGGGTGGGCAAAGCGTGTCATAGTGAAAGGCTGTGCCCTCTCAACATAAGATAATGGTGTGTGTTTATTAGAAACCACATCTGGGGATTGCACTCTTTGTGGGTAAAGCTTATTGGGCCACATTTTTTAGACTGGGCATCAGAGTAATCTCAACATCAAAACAAGAAGGTTAAATTTATTTTTTTAAACCCCTAGAAGTTTGAATCAACATGTCCACTTTGAAATCCAACATTATGCTAAAGAAGACACATGGGGGCCACTTCACCTCTGAGTCGTCAGTTAGTCTCCCTCCACCATGACATGTTAAATCACCCCTCTGTGTAAAATTAGCATCCTTTCACAGCTTGAGATATAACTGGGCTCCCGTGGAAAGGCACCTCAGGTGAGAATCCCAGTGGAAACCAGAAGTACTTACTTTGGCAGCACAAGGATCTGCACAATGAAGATGCAGAAGAATATGAGACAGGCACAAGTTACGTAATACTTGAACGCTGGCAGTGCTGTGGCCCGGTACTGAGGGAGAGAAAGGAACCCATGAGTAACAGTTCTCCAAGAGAAGAGCTGCACACAGTGCCCAGCAGCCTAGTTGTACCCAGGGCATGCACCACACTCAGAAATTGTGTAGATGGCGGCCCACGCAAGCCAAGGACAGAGCCTGTTCATCTCAGCAGTGAGTGCTTCCTTTCCCCCGCATGAGTGACTTCCAAGGACCATGGTTTATGAGTAAAGCTGTTCTGAAACCCATCTATCTGTAACTGAATCTCTCTAGGAAGGAGAGAGGCACTTGACCAGAAGGCTGAGTGAGTGAGCTGTGAATCGTGCCTGTGCCCTAGGTCCCATGAGGGTCTGACATCTATGGGTACTGAGGGAAAGGGGATGACTTCCTATATACTATTTTACTTTTGAATGCTGCTAAGGAAATGCAAGACATATTCATTTATTTTAGTATTTTATTTTATTGTCTTAATGTCTTTGAGAGGTGATGGGTGAAGTTACAAGACTAAAAATGTTTGCTGACTTGGTTCTTAGTTGGCTTGTTCTGAGCTTGGCCAATGGTTCTCCCCTTCCTTTCTCTCATCCAGTGTAATCAGCAGGGGCCCACGCGGTTCCTCATGCCATGAACAAGCTGACCAGCATTAGCTGCCTACCTGGGGATGGCCCTGCTTGACTTAAGCAGGATAAAAATGCCAGACGGGGCTGTACTTATGATGCTGGTGGTGACCCCTGCTGCATTGAGCACAGTGCCCTGCACGCCATGCTTTTCTTGTACTAATCAATCCTCACAACAGCCCCTATTTTGGATGAAGAAACTGTGGACTGGAATGATTGACTAGCATCAGGGAGATGTGCCAATATCATTGAAACCTCCTGAAAATACTTTCAGGTTGCATTGGTTACATTTGCATAAACTTTCCCAAGATATAGGGACAGGTACGTATTTGTTGGATTTTAGCCTCCCTGTTTTAGTGCTGAATGGGGGACCTCTGATGAGTATCCAGATATTTCTCTTCTGACACCTCTTGCTGCCCTTTGCCCTACCTGATGCCCTGAAGGGCAGGCTGGGGACAGGTGGACAAAAACTGAGCTTAAGTCTTGCTGCTCTCTAAAATTTGCCTTAAAGTCAGCATCCGCAAATACGTACCATGGGGAATGTACGCAGAAGCTGCATTTTTAAATGATCACCTCTGTTTACTAGAATTTTTTTGGTATATTTTTTGACTCAGTAGCCAGCATAATTTCCATGCTCATGAAAAAGCTATATTAGCATAGTTGCTGAAATGTGATGTACATTCTATGCACTCAATTAAATTCTTATCTTTTAGCTTCTTCAGGCCTTTGTACAGAGATATGAGTGGAAATTTCTTTGTGGTATTAACAAAGAAATGGACTTCCATCAGGAAAGAAATAATGTAACAGTTAAGCAATAAGTAGCCATTAATATTTTCTAAAGTTATTAAGGATAAGGTGGCCAATGATAGCACATTATAACAAGCGTCAATTTAGTAAACTGTCTGTGGTCAATGGTCAAAGTCCTTTACTTAGCAGTGGACAACAGATCCTCTTGACCACCAACATCAAAGAAATTTTGGTGTGTTCACAGATTTTGGAAGGAATTTTCATATTTAACATTTCTATTTGATATTCATAAAACAATGCACTAAATTTTATCAACATAATTTTAATACCATAGCTGCCAATGCTACCATTAATGTCACTTTTGTTCAAACTAGGCCTGTAATTATATAGTTGGATGATGCAAATTACTTCTAAGTCTGGTTTCTTCTATAGATCAACAAAAACAAAAGGCGAATAAAGTAGCAGTTGTCCTTTCTGCAAGAATTACTTAATTCATTTTAGCAAACCCGTACATAGCTTGACATGTAAAAACTAAATGTCTGCTTACTTATTTGTTCCTGAAATGGCTTTCATTTTAAAAGTCATAATATGAAAGTATTTAGATGCAATAAAGCTTAAAAGTTCTAATTATCCTGAAGAGGCATTGAATGTAAAACTCATATTTTGCTCAAAATATTAAAATAGTTGTGTAAAGACACTGTAGATTTATCAAGAAGAATTCTGTTTTGCTAAGACTTTTCTGAGATAATTTCACATTGAGAAAAGCAGGTATTATCTCCCATATCTTTCATTTAATTGGGATATTTCGCACATATTGCAGAACCATTTACTATCGAGAGGGCTGAGAATGGTGACTGACCAAAGACAGGAACCTGGTGAGAAGAAATACAATAAAGCAATATATGCATGAAAGAACCACCAGAAAAGCCTGAGACAGTTCCAGTCTAGCTAGAGGTAGTTTAAATGTCACATATAAAAAACATGAGCACAATTTCATGAAGATATTCAAATTTTAGAAAACTGGATTGATGATTTTGAAGAAAAAAACGCTTACTTCTTTTTCTAGTACTTTGTTATAGAAAAGCAGTGAGATTCTCTGAATGTCTTCAGACTTGAGCCATTGTCTGGAAATAGAAAGGACCAACACATCAGTTATTTCTTTAAATGACTTGCACTTTTCTTTCTTTACTGTATATCATTCCAAACAGCACTAAAAAAAAAAACGGATATAATGCCAACTAACTGGATATGGACTCTGGATACTGTTAACAGGATCTGAAAATATAATATCCCTAATCACACACTCCCCTCCTTGGAAAATTCTATATTATAAACCAACTGTCATATCATTTGCAACTCAAGGGATCCAAATTAAATAACAAGGGAGAGAAGTCATCTAAAAGACAGAAGACATCAATAAATTGATCCCCTAATGTTTTTCTGAAATCACACAGTGGTTTCACCTCCTTAGGCATCTATCTGGTTCCTAGAGAAGTACCATTTTTTTTTAGCTTCTAGAGAGCAACGTATCACAGAGCATTCAAACCATCAGAATGCCTTTAAGATCTGGGAAACAAGGTTTTGATTATTTTACACTTAGCAAAAATACATTCATTGTCACTTTTTTCATTTCTAGAAAGTAAAAGTCATGCTTGAATAAAGTTTTTAAAAAATTGGTAAAAATACTAACTTAATAAGCAATCCGTTCAGACTAGGTTGATGTAAACATAAAACTGCATGCATAAATCTCTCAGTTGTTGACAAATAAATAAAAATTATGTGGAAGTATGCATTGTACCACATTGTTTGACTTTTAAACATCCATTTTAAGTAAGTAGTTGTAAATATTGAGCATAAGGAGGAACCCTTTCACAACAGGGTCGTATAACCACAAGCCACACAGCAATACCAGTTGTATACCAAGCAAGCCGTTCACATAATGCCTAACATGATCACACATCAGACAATAAAATAAACACAAATTTTATGAAATATAGTTAAGTGAAATAGAGGGATACACCTCATATTTATGAGTACAGGCATGTAAAAAAACAAATCTATGCATAAAAGTATCTAGATATATCAAATATCTGGATATACAACAACATATATTACTGGCTGGTATGGGTTATTAGTTATTGAGAAACATATTTCTAAATACTTTTAGAGTTAAAAATATAATAATTGCAGATATATATTCATATATATGTATATATCTGTATGTCTATATAACTGTATATCTAGATTCATATTAACATTAACATTTACATCTATATCTATATTTATATTTATATCTATGCGTGTGTGTGTATGTGTGTAGAGAGAGAGACACACAATATATGTTAGGACATTAGAGAGAAAATTATGTTTTACATAAATATCCAAAAAAATGTCATACCTATTCAAACAATTATCAATTCACATGAATTTCTTAATATAATACTCTTCTGAACCGTTGGTTGTACATCATGGATTTTGACTTCTTGGGATATATTTGAAAGATAAACGATGAAAGCCTTTGAGGATCCAGGGAAAAATGTCAAGTGAAATTTTGCACTTTATTAGTAATCAGCAAGTGTGGCCTCCTCCTGACTTTGGATTAGGGTTTTGAAGTGAAGACTGATCTTTAACAATATGGCTACTGACAAGTGAACCCAGGAGACTCGCACACGTGAGGAAGAAAACCCCAGGTCTGCTTGGCGCCCCTCATCAGTTTGGAAGACTTTCACTGCCAGACACATATCCTGATTAGCTTGAACATCCCAGAAAACTAGACTATCACAGGGCACTTTCAACTGGGGCAGGGAAGTCAGTAATGTATTCTAGACTGACTGCCATTAAAAGTGAGAACAATAAAAGTACTTCTTTTTAAAAAACTTTTATTTTACTTTATTATTATTTTTTGAGATGGAGTCTCACTCTGTCACCCAGACTGGAGTGCAGTGGCATGGTCTCAGCTCACTGCAATCTCTGCCTCCTGGGTTCAAGTGATTCTCTTGCCTCAGCCTCCCAAGTAGCTGAGATTACAGGCGTGTGCCACCACACCTGGCTAATTTTGTATTTTTAGTAGAAACAGGGTTTCTCCATGTTGATCAGGCTGGTCTCGAACTCCTGACCTCAGGTGATCTGCCCACCTTGGCCTCCCAAAGTGCTGGGATTACAGGCATGAGCCACCGTGCTCGGCCAAAATTTATTTAGTGCTGGTTTGATAAATAGGTAAAATTTGTGTTGTGGGAGTTTGTTGTACAGGTTATTTCATAACCCAGGTATTAAGTCTAGTGTCCATTAATTATTTTTCCTGAACCTCCCCCTCCTCCCACCCTCAACCCTCTGACAGGCCCCATTGAGTGTCATTCCCCGCTACGTGTCCATGTGATCTCATCTCTCATCCCACTTAAAAGAGACAACATGCGGTATTTGGTTTTCTCTTCCTGTGTTTGCTAAGGATAATGGCCTCAAGCTCCATCCATGTTCTTACAAAGGATATGATCTCATTCTTTTTATGGCTGCATAGTTCTTTGATTCAAGGGTATAAGCTTTAGGGAAATAAACTTTTTTTTGGGTATTTCTTATTACTCTACCAGCTGCAGAACTATTATTCTGTTTCACAAGACTAGATGGAGAAATCAAAGACGGTTAACATGAAAAGGACCAGAAAATACAAATTAAGATAAATTTTAACTATACTCACTTTCAGAACTGTGTCTTTATCAAACTATGAATAATGTATACTGGTAACTTAATAAAAACAATATTTCCTTCACTGAGAAAAAATATAACTTAAAAATGCTCCTGGAAAATGTCAGCTTGGGAGTGAGAGTGAAATTTAGGAAGTGAAAATAAAACCAGTGCCTCCTTTACTGGTCGGGCCCGCACGTGCCCAGTCTACGTTTCCATGGCCTGTGACCTGCAGGTGGGTGGAAGGTGCTCGGAATCAGGCTTGCTTGCCTTGAATCCCCAGAGCCTCTGTGGTGCTTCTTGAGCCCCAGTGCTAGATCTGTGTTGGGGTCACGACTGAGTCCCCACCAGTGGACACCCTCGCCTCCCTTCCCACAGCACGCTGGGTCTGGCTTGGGGCTTCTCCCTTGCAGCAATGACGGAAGGGCCTAATTCTCCTCACCTTGTCTTTAGAGTTAAGATGACTATATTCTTCCTACACACTTAATCACCTCTGTGAATCCTTTGAGGTGGCTCCGCTCCCACCACTGACTTGGAACACAGGTATCTCAACATTAATTTTGCAATAAGATCAGATGCATTTTGGATGGATGGTATCACATGCTAAAATGTGAAGATGCTCCCATATAGAATCTAGCTTTTAAAAATATTACTTGCTGAATGCATCATGCTATAATTTTTCTCTCTCCAATTACACTTCAGGTTATTTGTCAGCAGTATACTTGGGAATATTTTGACTTGTAGAAAACAGAAAGATTTATAAGTGTGATTTGGATATTTGGAAGGGGATAGATTTGTGTGTGCTGATCAGGTCAACTATTACTTGCAGGGGGTTGAAACTACAGAGAAAGAAGGGCCGTGGAGGGGAGACGTGGGGAGAGAAGGGAGAGGGAATGTGTGTGTGCTTGATTTACGGCCTCCTGACTTTTTATGATCCCAGTAGTCTGCGGCATGAAGGAAGCCAACTTCATCCTGGGGTATCACAATAAGTGATTCTCTGTTTATTTATATGAAGGTTTTTGTTTTGTTTTGTTTTATCAAGAGGTTAAGGAAAATAAAGGAAATTCTGAATACTCTGTTGACTAGAGGGGCGTGGGTACTCCCACATCTGCGCACAGAATTATTCAAGAATATGAGAAAGCAAGTTCTTGCTGCAAAGCAGATACCATGCAAGAAGACCACTTTATTTACTTCTTTTTTTTTTTTATTATACTTTAAGTTCTGGGGTACTTGTGCAGATCTTGCAGGATTGTTGCATAGGTACACACATGCCATGGTGGTTATGAACTGCAAATCTGTGTCCCCCACCAACGTCTATCTGTTGAAGCCCTAACTCCTAGTGTGGCTGTATTCGGAGATGGATCCTCTAAGAATGAAATGAATGTTAAATGAGCTCTTAAGAGTAGGACTCTGATCTGAAGGACTACTTAGAAGTCCTACTTAGAAGGACTCCAAGGAGTCCTTCTAAGACAAGACACCAGACAGCTCCCCACCACCGCGGCATGCACTGGGGGAAGGCTGAGCAGATGCTGACTTCAGTCATCTCTTAACAAACGCGTGTTCAATCCATCAGTGAATGAATAAGCAAAAATCTGCATAGAAATCACTGTTTTATGCCAATAGCAGGAATGAATGATACATCAAGCCCGGGGCCCCAGTTGAGTCCTCAAATGAAAATTCAAAGATCAGAAGAACTTCATATCAGAGAACAAGAGGAGTTAATGAGGAAGGTGTAACAACAAGTGACTGAGTTAATTAAAAATATATGCATAAAAGCTTCCATTTGAAAAATTTCCCTTTTATTTTTTGAGTATAGCACACTCTTCTCGATTTGATTTCTGAAACACGTTGGGAAAATTACAGCATAAGCAGTTACATCAGCACTAAGCATTACTTTGGAATAAAACTGCATTAAAGCATAAGGTGTTAACTCAGCATGTATTTGAATACTAAATGATGCAAAGCAAACACACAATCTAAAAGCAACTTTACCAACAATAAAGCAAAGCCAATGGTGGCACTCTATGATGATTTGTTTGGTAGGTGGATACAAAAATAGTTTAAAAAGGTAGGTGTCCTGCATGAACACACGCTGAGGCTGACTTTAGGAATTCGTTTTCAAAATATTACTGTTATTATTATCATTTGCTAACTTTTGTCAAAAAACAAGACTGCCTCTTTCTTCTCATCTTGTGTCTTATTCTGGTGAGTCACAGGGTATCAGCTGCTATTTCCTCTGGTTGAATGAATGCATTCTTACACCTATATTTTATGAAACCAGGTGCCTCCCTAGGTTTTAGCTGCTGTTAGATTCCAGGAAGTTATTTATTTCTCAGTGTGTGATGGTTTGAGGCAGAGGTGAGGTTGCTTTTTGCACTGACCCTAGCATCAGGCAAAGCAGAGCATTGGTCCAGGTGGGGGGCCTTGGGTATTCTGGGACAGGAAGGGGGCTTTGCCTACTTGTAGTACATGAAGGGTCTCTAGACAGGTAATAATTCAGTGTTCAAGCACATCTGAATGGCAACTCCTGCCTGACCAAGATGCTTTACTGCTTAGATAATATGCACTTGCATTCAGACACAAAGGCACACACCCACCACAGACACACTTAACACACTCATGCAATTCTTTCATAAGCCCTGTAAATATTCTGTAATAAATACTTACAAGGAACAATCTAAAACAGGCATGCATTTCATAGAGCCATATACTATTTGAGGCCCTGTAACTTCATTTTGGAGACGAAGAGCTCTAGGTGAAAATCATTTACACTTTTCAAGAGTCAGCTTTCATGATAAAAAATTGAATAGGTTTCCATAGGATGGAAGCTTTTCTTTGAAGGCTTTTCATTTGGACCTCCCGATGTTTTCACTACAGTTCAACTCAACAAATATGAATGGAGCGTCTGATGTGCACCAGGCACCATACTAAGCCATGTGCTTTCTGCTCTCCATGGGTTCAGTTATGACACACATACGCAGGGAGAACACGAAGGCTGATGAACACAATCATTCTGTCCAGGTGGAGAAAGCCATCATCTTCTTTCAATTGTTTCCCTCCCACAACTCTGGACCATTTAAAACCGTAACAGCAATTCTTGGCTTCAGAGGCTGAATGACAATTTGTGCCCCCGAAATCAGTCTTACTCTCATTGCTCACCAATGCGAATTCTCTTCCAGGATTTAGAACACAGGTATCTCAACATTAGTTTTGTAATAAGGACAGATGCATTTTGGATGGATAGTACCACATGGTAAAGTTTGAAGATTTTCCCCATATAGAATCTATCTTTTTAAAATATTACTTGTTGAACACATCATGCTGTAATGTTTCTCTCTCCAATTATACCTCAGGTTATTTATCAACAGTTGATTTGGTAATATTTTCTAGGAAGAGTTAAATATTTTTAAAAAGATGAAAGAAATACTTTCAAAAAGATGTAAGAAGGGCTGGGCGCGGTGGCTCACGCCTGTAATCCCAGCACTTTGGGAGGCCGAGGCGGGTGGATCACAAGGTCAAGAGATCGAGACCATCCTGGTCAACATGGTGAAACCCCGTCTCTACTAAA